GTGGACGAAATTTGCAATATTTGTGATTTGTTTTGATAAATCATCAGATCGATTTTATTACAATTTATCTTGCAGTGCTTTAGTAGCTCTGTGCTGCACAGACCTGGTTCTTTATCAAATCTGATTAAGTACTAAGCCACAGGTGAGTGAAAAAACCAGATTGGCCAGTTCTTTTGACAAACTGGAATCAGATCAAAGGTCACAGGAATCCAGGAAAAGGGCACTAGGGTCAATGCCATTCCCCAAATACAAGTCATCTGCCGAAATTGTGTCAAGCATGCTAGTTGTTAGACTATTTCATTTTACTCACCAGAAACACTCATTTATAAAATATTCTGTCAGTTGAAACCTTAATTCACCATTAATTTAAGTTAAATGGATTATGCAAAGAAAGTTTCATAGGGTTTATTTTTATAAAAACACTGGTAAAATCCTGTATCAGTGTAGTCACAAAAAATATGCAATACAACACTCAGTTGGCCTCCATGTTTCTCTGGACTAATTTGTTTGCTCGGGCTTTTTAGCAGTTAAGTGTGGGTAAATTTGAGCCCAACATTTGTGTTCAAATAAACCTATTTAAAAACACAATAAAAATAAATAGCATAGTATGTTACGTAGTTTGTGTGTGTATGTGTTGCCGTAATATGTGACAAGTGTTTGTGCAGAACCTATTTTGACTCAAATTTGGCTCCAACTCATACTGGGGAATGACGGTCACCTTCAACACAGGAACTGTGAGGTGAGATTCCAGGTTGAGTCAGAACAATGTTTGCATCTAAATAAATTTTCCACATGATCAGAACACACACTTGTCACTTACTATGGCAAGACATATGGACAAACTAGATATAATCAGTAGCAATGAGTTTTATTCTTTAAATGTTTAAGTTAAATTGAAGCCCAATGTCCATGTAAACCGCACATGTAACAAAAAACAAAACCTGAGCAGACAAAGTGCAGAGAAACTTGGAATGAACATTGAATATTTTATGCATTTTGCCATTATTACAAATGTATTATATAAGTGTCTTTCTAAAAATAAATGTCAATCTTTCTTTGCAAACGTCATTAACTGAATGGTGAACAAAGGCTTGAACTGACAAAATATTTTAAAACTTAAACTCTGGAGTAAAATAATGAAACCAACGTCACACCAACAACTAGCATGACTCCAGTTGGAGAATGAAGAGGCACTATTCCGATGGCTTCAAAAATATGGAAACTTCCTGGTTCTGATCTGTGGTCTGGAGCTCTGATCTGGAGGGTTACTGCACATGGTAAAACCACTATAACTTTTCTGAACAAAGGCCCACCATCTGCTCTTCTGCTTTATCGCCTGGTCAGAAATGTTCCACAGCATGGCACTGAACTTCTACATCTCCATGGAGACCAGCAGGTACAGGTACAAGTCTGATCTATGGAGAGGTGACCCCCACTCACTGTATGAACACATATCTCGCAAGGCATTTTAAGCATTCAAAAACCAAATGCAAGTTATACAAGTTGATATCACACAGCATAAATTGGAACAATGGAAATTAGCTGTGGTTACCTATAAATAGGCAGGATTGTAAAGTTTTTACTTCATTATCTTGTTTTTAACAAAATACTTTCTAGGCAAAGCAATCACACAGCACGGGTGGAAAAGACCTCTTTGCTGTGACATAACAGGTTTAATGACCACTGATTATTCTTTTAAAGGGAGTTTTGTCTCTTCCTGCCAAACTCATAACAGACAGGATTCTGGGGGAGCAGGTTGTTCCAGAGCTTGAGGAGCGCCGCAGCTGTGGAGAGGCGAGGCACAAGTGGCACCATCCGACGTGGAGCCAAAACTGGAAAAACCTGAAAGTCTGAGACCAGTTTACAAGGTACTACCGTTAACAAGGATTTAGTGTGAACTATGCAGAGGGAAACACTTTGTGCCTTTGTGGAGGAAATAAATTTGCTTTTCTCTGAACTAGATTTAGTCAGAGTTTGATTTGCATCTGTATCAGCCTGAGGAGGGAAGGGCATCTGACACACAGGGATATAGGAGGATGGGAAGGCACCTAACACACACTAGGGAGGTGGTTCCTTGAAAGAGCCAGATTTTCCATTTCTCTGGTTGAATCATTCTTAATCCAGAGACACAGGGATACACACAAGTGGATGGGAGGGCATCTGACATTCCAGTTAGTCAGGTTCCTTTGTTTTTGGAACGAAACCAAACAAAAGACTGCACAAACTCATGGATTAGTCAGAGTGGATTGTAGGATAGGATTCTGTGAACAATGGAGAGAGAACAGCAAGAGATGAGAGAATTAGAGAAGGGAGAAGAGAGAAAGGAGAGAAAGATGGATTGAGAGGTGGACTGGAATTTTTTTGGGGTGGGGGCTTCATCGTTTACAAACTTCTCTGGATTAAGAATGACTCAACTAGAGAGATGGAAAATCTGACTGTATAAACCTCCTCCCCCCTGTATCGTTACGTGTCAGATACCTTCTGTAGCCTCCTGTATCCCTGTAATGGTAGACTGAGATGGGGGCAGTCAAATGACGAGTTAATCCGCAAATCTTGTGGTGTGTCAGATGCCCTACCATGTGTTGTGGTGTGGTTGGAGAAATATTGCGGGAGAATGGACCTAGTTACAGATTTTAAAAAAAAATGATAAGGGAAAAAAAAAAATGGATTTGAGAGATTTCTGATGAAAACACCAGAGAATGAATTCTGACTATGCTCCGTCAGAGAGAGGGGCGGTGTGATGTGCAGGGGTGAACGAGGCTGAGACGCATAGACGGCAGTGCGTAATACGCACGCAAACTCCGGATTTGGGTCACGTTTTGGGAGCCTCCATATGAAATGACAGCAGCCGGTCAGGAGCAGGTCTCCAAACGCATGCGTAATGGAAGCATCATACAAGACTTCTGTGCTAAACGCGAGTCAGTCCAAGAGTCAAAAAACATGTTCACTGACAAAACAAAACGGCGCATGCTCATAAAACTGGGGCATCACCTCGTTTTAAAATGCATTCATAAAGTCTTCTCTGAATGAATGAACGAGCACGCACGTTTCAAGCAAAAGTAAATCTTTTCAACAAATTTATTGGCTTTGTTCACATGCACTAAAACCTGATTATAATCAGATGTCTGGACCTGTAAGGTTCTTTTTAAATGACATGCAAACCGCTAAAACTGATGTGAATAATCAGAGGGACAATGATATGAGAAAAAGGATTCTGCGGTTTACGTGTCATTTTCATAATTTTAAAACCCTAAAAATCTGTTAATCAGATTTTGAGTACGTATAACGGCAACAACTGTGTTTGCAGAGGAGATTCAGTTCTATTCTGAAATTCTGAACAGTTGCGCTGAAAACATGTTGCTCTTTAATTCCATCTCAATATTCAATTCATTTCGTTTTAAAACGTAAATCAGTTAGCTACTTCTGCAAACTATGCATTCTCATCCATAGTTTTCACTTTAGTTGGACCAACTAAAATATGGATGTTAATGTTTTTTATCACTTGGAGTTGGATTGTTGGTAAAAGTAACTTGCAAACTTGGCTGTTGTGCGTCTGAAAAGTGCGTCATGGCCACACGTTTGCGCAGAAGTGACTCACATCACAAGCAAAGAAAATACGCACTAGTGGAAAAAACTAACGCCAGAAACACAGAAAAATTAATTTAATAAGCAACGGGTCCAGTAGCTGTGTGCCGCTTGCGTCACTGGTACAGCAAATATGTGACAAAATTACAGAGGTGAAATATTAAAATTGAACCAAAGAATACAGTTACTCAACGCACTTAACCACAATTTTGAGTTAGCTCTACTCTTAATACTTCAAATCTACCTAGAATCCTCATTTAAACGACACTGGGAGACACATCAGGGGAGGATGCTGAAAAGTGCGCACTCAACCCAATGAGCGGTGAGTCACGCTTCCGACGCAGGGCCGAATCTGGGCCGAATCCGGGGTCTCATTTTATACCACTGCGTTTGGATGATTACGAAACGCACTAAAGACGCAGCCATCAGGGCAGTGCGGTCAAAACGACAAAGTGGCGCATTTTGAAAGAAATGAGGTTGAATGAAACAATCACGCCATTTCTGCGCAGTAGGGGGCATTTAGAGAAACTCATCAAATGTAAAATGTTGAATCTGCGCCATAGGATTGGTTACAAATAGAAATGAGAATTCTAAGACATAACAAAGAATATGGATTATTTTGAAGGAACATTTGGTTTATCCCCCCTCACGCACATCTCCTTCCCCCCACACTGATTACAAAACACCAGTCAGACGCACTTACAGCGGCACTGTCTGTGGAAAAACGGTCTATCCAAAGATGGGACAGATTCGAGTTAAATCTCAGTTTTGTTGTAGTATATCAAACATGAGACATGTGGAATGTGGGATGAGTCTTTATGTTCAGCCCAGCGTCTGTTCTGGAGGAGAGGAGAGTCTCAATGAGAGTTACGCAACACTGACCCACTCCCCGCAGCTCCACATCCGCGTGTAGAGCCTCGAAACCCGGTCACAGTCTGCGGCAACCCGGCCTCTCTCTGGTGGACCAGGCTGACCAGCTGATCCTGGACAAACCAACCCGGGACAGAAGCAATGAACCGGGTCACATACAACCTCACATACAACCACACACCCAGGCAAAGTGACCCACCAACACCTGTCCCCTGATGGGGTTTGGAGGCAATAAACCGGAGTAAAAACTCGGTCACCCCCGCTGCATTCACCACCTGGAGCTCACCCACCTGACTACAGAGTGCCTCCTGACTAGAAGCCCCAAAACCGGGAAAACTAGTCCAAAACCTGGTCTAAGCCTGGTCCTTCCCTGACACACTCACAACAGACTAGTGTAGAGACAAACACGACTCAAAACTCGGTCCAAAGCAAGTCCAAAGCCTCCAGTAGGGCCCTCACACCTGCCCTGAGTTACCCCGGGTCTCGTGCCCCTGTCCCCGGGTGTAAGCAGCTTAAACCCCGCTTTGTGTCGGAGATTCACTCACCTGCCCATTTCCCGAGGCGCGGAGACAGCAGGCTCCCGTTGCCCAGGACCCAGATGCGGAACCCGGACAGGAGTCTGTAGAGCAGCCACAGTAGCACGCACGCCACAGTGCACGCGCCCACCCAGAACAGTGGTTCATGTGCCTCATGCAGGGCGTCCCGGAGCGCGTGCGTCCAGCTCATGTCCACAGAGAGCGCGTGCGAGGAGAAAGGCAGAAGGCGCGGGTCCGGAGCACACGGGTTTGGGTCTGGTTCCGCCGCGCTCCGCTTTATAAAGACCAGCCCGGCTCTCTGCGCTGATTGGCTGTGGCTCACATCACTCACGGGCTGCCGGTGGAAGGGGGTGGAACTCAGGGGGAAAGCGGTGCACTGATTGGCCGGGAGCGGAACAGGTTTTGTGGGTTTCGCTGCGGTTACGAAACTCCAGACAAACCGCCCGCTCCACTTTATGAATGAAACCGTGCGCTCATTGGCCAGGAATGTGTGCCCGCCCCCTGCTCGCTCCTGACAGGCCGAAGGAGTTGTCAGTCACTGGCTGATGAGTCACTCTGTGCCGTCACCAGAGACATCACTGCACTGCCCACACCAGAGATAAACCAGGACTAAACTAGGACTAAACCAAGTCTAAACCATGACTAAACCAAAACTGAACCAGGACAAAACCAGGATCAAACCAGGTCTAAAACAGGACTGGACCAGGACTAAACCAGGACTAGGTCTAAATCCTGTGTAAACCAGGACTAACTAACCAGATTTTGTTTAATGAATTTGGAAAGTAATAGCAGCAGTGTTTCAAATGACAGAAAAGCTGTCACCTTAGAACCTGAGGGTTAGCAGTTTGAATCCAGCTTGGGATAGCAATAGTATTGTTGTGTCTGTGGGCAAGACACTTTACCTACCTCTTGTGTGAATGCAGTTTGAAATATAGGTGGTGGTCAGAGAGGCTGATGGCACAAACTGGAAGCTGTGTGTCCCTCAGCAAGTCCAAGGGCAGATATGGCTTCTGCAGTAGGTTACTAGTAGTAGTAGTAATGCTCTTAGTCATAGTACATACTGTAATATTAGTAGTAGTAGTACTCATCAACACCACAGTTTCCAAAGACCATAGATACTTTGCGCTCAGGGGTTTGGATTTACACACGTCTTCTGTGACTGGAGCCCTGTTTGAAAGTGGCAGACGTGGCTGCAGATGTTGCAGGTCCAATCTGCAAATCTGCCAACAAATATCAGCAGAGCTTATGAACCATCGACTGCTCTGGATTCTAACCAATCTGCATCAGTCATGGAAAACCTGTATCAGTCAATCTCTAGTACATTCTGTAATAGTAGAAGTAGTTATAGTATTCAGCAGCAGCATTAGTCATAGTAGAATTATGAGTAGTAAAATTATATATTATAGGTTATAGTAGTAGTAGTAGTACAATGGTATAACCTCTACTAGTAGTACATATGTGTATTTTACAGTACTGTAGGGTTAGCTGTAGTATAGTAGTAGTGTTAGTCATAGTACATATTGTATGACATGATTCAGATTAGATGCTGCGTTAACACATTCCTCAGTGATACGTGTGACTAGCTGTAGAATTCCCTCATTTGAAATGTTGTAATTATCAAATAATGAATCAGATTACACCACTAATGTGAAACTAAACCAAGAAAGTATATAGATTTTATGGAGTAGAATTCTGTAGTTTAGACCTCTACAAACATGTCCTGGAATGTCGCTGTACGCCAATGTGTCAGATACCCTTCCTGTATGTCAGATGCCCTGTCTGTGTCTCCATGGGGTCTTAATGTGTGTAAAAGCTGCTAACCCTTAGTTTAGACTTCTACAAACATGTTCCGAAATGCATTAGATTCTTGGATAAAAGTTTGCAGTTCACATTTCAGTCTCATCGTTATAATATTAATTTCTTTTAAAATCATGCATATATATATATATGTGATCATGTAGCGTCAGTGGCTCAGTGGCAGAGAGTTTGAAGCTTCTGGTAAAATCCATTTACGGACATAAGAATCACTAAACACTAAATTATAACATTCTGTTGTTGTGCCCTTGAGCACACACACACACAGTCTGCTCCAGATGCAAATATGTGGTAATGACAGCTAGGGCATCTAGTGTAAGCCTGTCCTCTCTTGTATCTCTGTTGGGACAAATCATTCAGGTCATCTCGACATCAACTCGGGCCAACTGTGAACAACACTGGAACAAGGACAAATCCAGGACTGAACCATGACTAAACCAGGTCTACACTATAAAATAATCCAGCACTAAACCACAATTGAACCAGGATTAAACCAGGAACAGGTGTAAACCAAGACTAAACCAAGACTAAACCAGGACTAAACCAGGTTTAAACTAAATAAATAAATAAATAAATAAACAAACACACATTTAATTCCAGCATCTTTTTATTTTATTTTATTGTTGAAAATCATCTATTTCACAAAACAAAAGCAACTCAATAAAAGCAATTATTAACACATCAAGTTCATATCAAAAATATAATATCCATGTAACATTTCGATTTGAAAGTATGAAGTCACAGCAGAGGTTAAGGTCATCCAAAATCATAAAGCACCTGAATTAATCCAAGAAATATTGGAAATAATAATATTGCCAAATGTATGATTTACTATTTAAATCCTAAATAAATTAACATGCTTTATGGTTTTAGCCGTTTAGCTGCTCAGCATTTTTCATATTGTTGATTTCCAAAGCCAGAAAACCTCTGAGTAAACATCTCCCTTATTATTAAGGCAAGTTTAAACATAAAAAAAGAACAAACAGAACAAAAGTGCAAAAAACTAAAACTAAAACTATCAATGGAAGGTGATTAACTATGGTTCAGTAAATTGTTTAACATGTGTTACAGAGTGACAGGTGCTATAAAGTGACAGGTGTTAGAGAGTCACAGTTGTTATTGAGCCAATCAGGATCAAGGCTGTTGAAGGTACACGCCCCCTCCTGCTCGCACCACCGCTTTGGCAGAGGACGAATGCTCAGCAACGAGGTTGTCAGTCAACCTGTGGCTAACACTAGTAGGGGCAAACTCAGGAAACAGGCAGCAGATTGGTTTGTTATTAATGTTCATATCTTAATTTAGGGGCAGAATAATTAAATAAAAACACCAGGGTCCTGGAGAATGGGTTACAGGCCTTACAGCTGCAGAGGTTTGACAGTTTATCAAAAGAAAGTGAGCCAATGGAGTCAGAAGCGTGGCCATAGTCACTTCCTATTTGGAAAAGGCATCTGGCATGTTAGCTATGTCCATTTACTTAAACACAGTCTATGGGATGAACACAGTGTTTAGGGTGGTGTCGTCTCAGACGTGATCATCTTAACAAAGTGTACATGGAGAAGAGCAGGGGGGACGGTACATAGTCCTGTGGACATCTGTGACATGCCCTCACTCTGGGCACTCAAGATGTCCATGCGCTGTCTACAGGTGGAGTCAGACAGATGGATTCCTCCCCTCCTACAGAGGTCATATCTCCTAACCTAACCTGAAATCACAAGAGAAAAATTATTTAGTAACAAAATATGAATTTAGACATTTCTGACACAAAACTCACAAAAATGTCCAAACATAACTTTTTCTCACCAAAATCTGAGTTTCACACTATCGATAAGAAAAAAATCTTCTCAATAAATGCACATTCTCACCAACAAACAACAACACTTATCTTTCTATAGATGTAGTATGCATAGATGGAACAATAAGTTTTAGGGGCTCAATATTTACCATTGTACTAGAGGGAAATGTTTGTTTTCTTTCTGTACTATAAGATTTGAGTGTTGAAAAATTAGACTCATTATAGATACAAACTAATTTAAGTGTTTCATTCTGCTGTTTATTTATTGGGTTTATCACATTTTTAACATTTTTATACATTTGAGAGCAGTAGACATGCCTCTTATGGGACAAAATTCCTTTTATTATTAGATAGAACATGCTTAGGGTTTGGTTAAGATTAGGTGAGTAGTGACTATGGTTAAGGTTGGGAGTCAGTCTTAAAGAAATAAATGGAAATCAGTGGAATGTCTCCAACAAGCATGGAAACCCAGCATATGTGAGTGTGTAAATATTTAAAATGTTACTCAAAACCAAAGCTAGATCTTGGACCACCAGTGGACTAGACCTGGACTGGTTTAACTGGACTGATCCTAAACAAAGTCCTGATTGAGTCCTGGTTTAGTCTCGAGATAGTCCTTCAGTCCTGACTCACACTTCTTTTAGTTTGGTGTGTGAGTGTTCAGATGGTCTCAGGGGCTGATGGTGCAGATTGACAGCCTTGCTTCTGTCTGTGTGTGTACCAGGGCATCTGTGGCTACACTAGTAATTTCACAAGCACATAATTAAGACAAAAACCAGAACTAAAAGAGGACTAAAGCAGGAATAAAGCAGGACTAAAGCACGACTAAAGTAAGATGAAACCAGGACTAAATCATCAAGTGTGGAGTAGTTTAGTCTGGGCCCAATCCGGGGTTTAGTCTTTCATATGTTATTTGCTTACTAAATCTTTCTTGAGACAGAAACCAGATCCAGACAACAGCAGAGTCTTGATCTGAGACTAGTCCTCCCACTGTAAACATAGACTGGTTTGGGTGGTCTCTCTCAGGTATAAACCAAACAAGGATCTGGTCTGGTCTAGTCCTAGTTTATCTTAGACTCCCTCAGTAAACAAGGTTGAATACTGGTTTAATCCTGATTCAGTCCTGGTTTAGTTCTGATTTAGTATTGGTTCAGTCCTGGTTCAGTCCTAGTTCAGCCTGGTTAAGTTCTGGTTACATCCTGGTTTAGTTCTGGTTCATTCCTGGTTAAATCCTGATTTAGTCCTGCTTCAGTCCTGGTTTAGTCTTGGGCCCAGTTTCATCAGTATTGCAAAAACACAAAAACTCAAAGTTAACACAAGGTTTGCTGTGCCAACGCCCCTCCACTCAAAAGCAGCTATTGTTTTGAACCTTCTTGCTGGATTCCTCAGTGAGTATTCCACTCCACACTGATGGTCAGTTTGACTGGGCAGTCGTGAAGGCTATGGAAAAATCTTGTACATGTAGTTTAGTTTGTGTATCAGATGCCCTCCCTGTGTCTCCTTGGGGGTCTTATTCTATGTAAAAGCTGTTAACCCTGTAGTTTAGACCTCTACAAACATGTTCTGAAACACATGGGATTCTTGGCTTAGTTTAAAGGCCAAAGTTTATTCTCTCTCTGTTAACAAAGTCTACACATTTTTACCTTTTTAAAAGAAATCCAAATCTAACAGTAATCACAATACTTGTCAGAAAAAGAAAAAAAAAACACTTTGATTTTTTTCTAAAATAATGCAGCTCTATGAGTGACTCTGCACCTTCACCCACCAACATCACACACACACACACCACTAGGGCTGTAGTCGACTAAATAAATTCTTGTTGGACTAAAGACGTGCTGCTGATTGATTAATCAAAAAAAAGGGGTGTGACAAAAGCTCTCAAAACTAATATGTATCTCTGTGTATCTGAACTGTTGTTTTTAATGAAGACATGACATCCATTTTGTTTCTCTGCTGTGTGTGTGTGTGTGTGTGTGTGTGTGTGTATGCTAGTTGTGTTTAAAGCTCATATGACAGGTTTTCATATTTTTCAAATTCTGACTTGGTTTGGTAGAATAGCACCTGTAGAAAAAAAAAAAGAAAAAAAAAAAGTTGGAAAATACATGAAGCAGCTCTAAGTTGTGTAACAGAATCCCTCCACCTACAGTCTGTCATCAACACGGAAAACTCCATCCACAATGCAAAGACAATTAACGCACAAGGAAGGCATTCTTCTGGCAGTTCAAACATTTATTTAACTGAATAAAGGTGTTGTCAGTTATTTGTAAAAGTTTAATCACAACTACTGTGTCATTTAGAAGAGTTTTGACCCTTTACATTATAGTTTTGACCCTTTACATTATAGTTGCTAGATAAGTTATGGAATTACCTCTACATATGTCGCATCTGCTGTCTATGTCCAATGAGGAAGTAAAATGATAAACTTGACCAAAAAAAAAAAAAAAAAAACTGAAAAGACTAGGCAATATTTTTAGTAAAACCATAAATATAATAATGTAAACTATGTTTTAGTGAAATGAGTTTTGTCTGTCATATGCACGAAAAGTAAAAAGTACAGATACAGGGCACAAATGACTCCAGTCAAAGTATTTCACACACAAGATTGAATAATTATTGAATCATTCTTTTAAAAATGTACTTTCAGAGTAAAATAGTACAAATATTTCACACAGGTAAATGCAGAGATTATGAAGAATTCTGCAGATTTTTGATTAATAGAAGCGACTAGATCCATTTCTAGTCCGTTCTTGTGTTTGTACCTCAACTCAAAACCTTTAAGCAGTGTATGCTACTCTCTCCTTCTCAAATACATGTACATGTTCAGTGCAAATCTAAATACAAATAAGTACAAATAAAATCAACTTTGCCAAACATGTAAGGTCATGTATGTATGGTCATGGTGACATTATAACTATTAAAAATCATAATAGTGTGGTGTTGATGATGTTTTTACTGCAATATGAGTATGGAGCTTGAGTCAACCATCAAAATAGCAAAAGTTATTGACAAGATTTTTGTCAACATGCTTCTAGCTGTTTTACTTCACTGATGGTTCTATAGTAGACAATAGTGCTATACAATAGTCCTTTCAGATTACACTCACAACATTTAAAGTGCATATGATAGGTTAGGATACTTTTTCCACTAAAAATAGTTAACATTATATTTAAGATTTTACAAAAACATTTACCTAGTTTAAAAAAAAAAATCTGGTTAAGTTTATATATTTACTTGCTGGTTGAAAGCAGATATGACAAACAGTACGTAGACATAATTCCAGTCCTGTTACCTAACAACCATAATGTAAACAAGGTACAAAATGTGTCTAAATTACACAATAGTTATGATTAGACTTTAAAAATAAATGGCAACAACATTAGTTAGTTAAATGAAGGTTTAAACTGTCAGACAAATGCCTAAAACTGCATAAATTGTCTTTGCATGTTGGTTGGAGTTTTCTGTGTTGGTGACATAGACAGAGGGATTCTGTTTTACAACTCAGAGCTACTTCCTGTATTTATGTATTTTTCCTCTCAACTATTTTTCCACAAACTGCCACTATGATGTAAAACTATATAAACATTTAGTCACAATTAGAAAAATATGAAAAGCTGCCATATGCAGCTTAAGGAATGCTCAAATCAGATTATAATGTCTGCAGATCTTAAACTTTTCAATTTAAAAATTCAGTAGAAAGGAAAGTACCTGTTCTAAATGCAGTGAAATCAAAGTAAAAAGTATCCACTGTAAAATACACTTTCCTAAGATTGTATTTAAAATACTTTTAATACTTTCCACTGTTACTTTCCACTGTTGGACATGAGTCTGACGAGTTCACCTTTAAGCCTGTGCGGGTCTCAGAAAATGTAGAAATAAAACATAAAATCATATTAAATAATAAAAAAATAAATAAATAAAAAAAGGACTAAACCAAGACTATACCAGGACTGAACCAGGATTAACCCAGGACTAAACCAGGACTAAACCAAGACTAAACCAAGGCTGAACCAGGACTAAACCAGTACTACACTCCACAGCTAACCATGGTTTAAACCAGAACAACAATTTTGACAACTACACAGACAAATGCAGCCACAAACTCACATCTGTACAAAAACTAAAGCAAGACTAAACCAGGACTAAACACAGCACCGGAACTACACCACAGAGCTAAACGTGGTTCAAATTAGGACAAAAATTTTGACATTTACATAGACAAATCCAAAAACGAACCAGGACTAAACCAGGACTAACCCAGAACTAAACCAGGTCTAATGGACTATTATCACCATGTTTGCAGCGGTCAGTCCTGACATATTCTTTTCTTTATTTTTTAATACCTCTTCACACGACACACACCTTCCTCACATCATCGTCAGTGTCACTTTTGCCCTAACACACTTCATGTTAGTCAATATAAAGATCTTTATTTTCAGATTATCCTCAGTGTACAAAGCAGGTCTGAACCAGGTCTGAACCAGGACTAAATCAGGACTAAACAGGACTAATGCAGGTTCACATTCAGACAGACGAACTATATAAGCACACAGTTTTAAAACCAGAACTAAAGCAGGACTTCAACAAAACCAGTCCAACAGTAATTTAATTGGTTAATTACAATTTCATTATAGATTATTCTTCATATTTTCTAACATTTTGACATTACTTTTCCTGTATTATACATACATACACACACACGTGTGTGCAGCAACAAAACTAGGACTAAACCAGGACTAAACAAGACCAAACCAGGACTAAACAAGAACCAAACCAGGACTAAACCAGGACTAAACAAGAACCAAACCAGGGCTAAACCAGGACTAAACAAAACCCAAACAAGGACTGAACCAGGACTAAAGAAGAACCAAACCAGGACAGCTTAAACTTACTTTTTCTTTATCACTGTACGTATAGTTGTGTTGCATCAAATCAATTACTAAGGTCTGAACCAGGACCAAGGTAGGACTAAACAGGACCTAAACACGACCAAACCGGGTCTTCCACAGCAGCAGGTTCAAACGAGGACAATCCTGAGCTACACCCATTTCAGAAAGAAACGAGACGCATTCCGAGACAAAAAACAAACTAAATACAAACTAAACAAAACTTAAAAAAAAAAAAAATTACAATTAAGTACAATTCACATACGCCTGATAAGCACGTTTTTGGACCACGTGAATTAAAGGATACATTTAAAAACCCATCCTCTCTCCCTGGCTATCCCCCTCACACACACACACACACACTGTTACACAGACACACACACACACACTTCACTGACAGGCTTTAGTTAATTTTTAGTCCAGTTTTTACCGTTTTTGGTGGGACGAATAGCCGTTTCCACCGTGCGTCTCCCCCGGATCTCCCCTTCTGTTCCCGGGCTGTATCCTCTTCTCCCTCCGTCTCTCACGCATGGTTCCCTGATTCATTTTGTCATCTAAAAACACACACAAAAGCACAGTTGAGCCTCTGATTAAAATATATACATTTATACTTACGTTATACCTCTCATTTAACAACATCTGGACGTAATTCGCAACAAGTAAACTCCGAAATGTCCGTGTGTCTGTCACATCACACACACACTTCACCAACTCTGCGTTACGACCCTAAATGCCAAGGAAAATATGTAAATTACAAAAATAATTTTATAGAGTTTCATATTCGACAAAAAACTGCACTAAATGAATCGGTTTAATGGCATAATTTATTTGGGGGATTTGCGCAAACTTCACACACTCCCAGCACCACTCCACAGCTCCAAACCTTTTAGAGGAAACGCAGCTCTGAACTTTCGGATCATATATTGTATTTTGTATCTTTATCACATTTATTACATTGAGATTGTAGTGTTTGGGTGGAGGACACTTTTGTCAAATGTCAGGACTTAGATGAAAGACGGTGCGTAATTAAGGTTAAATTCCAAGAGACGTAACAACAAAAAACACCGTTACGCAAGCAAATAACATGCTTGAGACTAGGCAAGAACCAAACCAGGACTAAACAAGAACTATACCCAGGACTAAGGACTGCACCAGAACTATACCACACAGCTAAGCAAAACAGGGTCCAAATTAGGACAAAAACTGAGGCGGTCGCACAGACAAATCCAAGGACAAATTCAGTAACAAAAACTAGACCAGGACAAAACCAGAACAAGACCCAAACCAGGGACAAACCAGGTTTAAACTCAAAACCCCAAAACAGGACATCTTAAATTTACGTTTTCTTTATCACTGTACATATATTCTTGTTATATCAAATTCACTTAAACTCAAATAACTCAAATGAAAATGTTTCAGAACGTGTTTTTTTGTTTTTTGTTTTACGCATGTATCAATATATAAATCAACTAAATTCTTCAATTTGGACGTGAAAGAAGAGACAGCTGAGACGCACCAGGTTTAGTGTATAGGAGCAACCTTTTATCCATTAATTTCTATCTCTCAGAAATTCATCTCCGCAACAGTTCAGCATTTATTGGGATGTGTGTTTATGTAAAACTTTTGAAGGACGTTGTACAAGTTACGTTCATGTTCTAGAAACTAGTGGTTTCATAATCTTAGATGGAGCAGGGGTCTATGTAACCCTATGAGAGATTCACTATTTTTTAAAGAAATCTCCAAACGTATGATCCACAAATGCTGAACCTTCTCATTATTTGTTTGAAACTGACTTCGCGAACTTGTCATATTAATCTTACATCTTAAAGCCCTTTCAGCTAACTACTACAATCATGTACTTTCTGACGCTATCGTATCGTATATGAATAAATAGTTTCACTTTAGCTTCTTTATACTGACAGAAGACGTTGAACTTTGTGCCAGTTTTAGTTTCGTGCAAATACGCCCAGTAATTACAGAGATATGAAGCATAAACCAAGTCAACAAATCTGCAATCTGACAGATACACAGTAAATTCCACCACAGTATACTGACCTGTCCCCCAGCTCAGTTTAAACTATAGGGACTCTACAATGTGCTCGTCACGTGAACGCAGCCAGAGTCAGACGGGTACGAGCTGTGACACACGTTTACATGTAGGGTTTTAAAAAGAGCATATTATTCAGATTTTACGAACTTTGCCTCTGATTCTCGTATTTAAACAGACGCACGTGTTACCCAGTTGGATTTTGCACAAATCGATTTCCCCCCATGTTAAACCCATAGTTTTGCCTATAGAAACTCCCGGTGACGAGACTGAAATCCCGGTCCAAACATTGCTCATTGTTGTGATGATTTAATAGTTTTTCAACCTATTTAAGTCGTGATATCCTTTTGTTGTTATAACTATTCCACGTCACGACGCAAACTAAAATATGACCAAATAACTTTTTTGTGCTAATGTTTTCCTTGTCTCAGTGCTTTGGCTCTTTCTGTTTGTCAGTGATGGTGGTTTTGCTTTTAAACTGGTTCCGAAGTTACCCAGGACACTCAAAATGGCGAATTATTCATTTAAATGCATGTGAGAATTAATTTAACTAAAATGTCATATTTTTTGTCCAAAACACATCTGGTACAGTAGTGTTTTGGTTGGAAAACACTGGTTTCGTACATTTATTTGTCGCTGAAGCGCCATTACGCACGAGTCTTTAGTCAAAGAAGCAAAAAAAAAAAAAGATCAAGAACGCGCTTCGGCTAGTGACTCCAAACCTGTTCGAGTCCCAAACACAGTCTATGGTCTCAACTAGTGATGTGACGTTCGTGAACGAGTCGAGTCTTTTAAACGGTTAACGTGAACTACTGGAACCGAATCAAAGTTTTTAAAAGAACCCAATCTTTTCCTTTCAAAATTTGATGTGTTTTTGCACTTTTCAACGCTGAACCAACGCAGGAATCAGCGCAGAAACAGAGTAGGCGACACGAGTGAAAGTTTTGAGCACAAAAACATCTGCCATCATAATAACCGTTTTCACATTATTGTAGTGACAGGATTAGGCTTAACAGACTCTCGACATTTTAAATAAATCTGAGCCTTGGTCATTTCTCTCTGTGATAGTTTGTAGATAAAATAGACTTCTGCCTTATAAGTAAAGAAAAAGATTCTTTTGAACGGCTCTTTGAAGTGAACGGATCCAAAAGATTCGCCAAAACTTGCGCGTTTTTACCATGTTTAGATTCGCGCGAGATTCAGAACAAGCACGAGAATACGTAGGGATTAAACCAGAGATAGAACTTCTTACGTCTTTTCTCACGCCTGGTTTTGTGTCATTCATCTGAACTTGAAATTACATCTTTTTGGGGCGATCACATTTGGTTTGAACGCAGTTTAATCCTCATGGTAGTGATGGTGATTCGGTCTTGGTTTAGTCCTGTTCTAGTTTTTATTTAGTCCTGTTTAGGCCTGATTCAGTCCTGTTCTAGCCCTGTTTTAGTTCTAATTCAGTACTTATTTAGACTTGGCTTGGTCCTGTTCTAGCCCTGGTTTAAACCTGATTAAGTCTATTCCTTTAGTCCTGGTTTAGACCTGATTCAGTCCTGTTGGTTTAGTTCTGGGTTAGTCCTGGTTTAGTCGTGGTTTAGTCCTGATTTAATCCTGGTTTAAACCTGATTCAACCCTGTTCTAGTCCTAGTTCAGTTCTGATTCAGTCCTGGTTTAGTCCTGTTCCAGCCCTAGTTTAGACCTGATTCCACCCTGTTCTATTCTTTAGTCCTGGTTTAGACATGATTTAGTCCTGGTTTATTCCTGCTCAGGTCCAGAAGTAGTTCTGTATTTAGTTTGAGTTTTGATGTGGTGCATCAGACCAGACACACTGAACTTCTCAGATGTTTATTGTCACAGTATTTAAATGTATACACTTGATTTTTATTGTACTCTTTTTTTTTAAATAAATGTTTTGTAGATTATATATATGACCATATAAGGCATAATTGAGTTAAGTTTTGGGACAACATTTTGTGTGAGCTCAGCAGAATCTGGTTGTGTGTTTTTATTATTAAACATTAGAAAGTGTTTTGGTAATTTGATCAAAATAAATAGGGTATTTTAAATGTAGACCTCCTTCAGGACACACATACACGCGCACGCGCACACACACGCACATACGCACACCCCCCCACACACCCCTACAAACACACACACACACACACACACACACACACACACACACACACACACACACACACACACACACACACACACACACACACACACACACACACACACACACACACACACTACACACACACACACACACACACACTCACACACACACTTTTCCTGTTGTAAAGTTGCTAAAGTTTAGTAGTTCAGTGTAGTTTTATGTGTGATTTTTAACATGCCTTTGGATTTAGTTATGTCATAGAAGAGTTAATTGTATTGTGCACTGCAATATTTTATGAGGTTAAAGATCAGATATAAGATAAGATATAAGATTTTGTCATCTGCTGGGTTAAACCTGAGTTTGACTCATCCTTCAGTGTATCTGGTTTAAACCTGGGTGTGACCCATCCTTCCAGGTCTTTGGGCTAAACCTGTTAGGAGCAGTGGACCAAACCTGATTAGATAATGTTTTTAAAGTAACAGTATTTAGGAGAAAATATGCGTACAAAGTTTTTAAGCCCTACCTGAATTTTCCCATGTATCTGAGCCAAATGTTTCTTCCCCCAGTACATATAAGCAGCTCTTGAGGTCAAAATATGTCAGCTGTGTACTGTTTGGATCTAAATATAAAGCGTTGTATTGTTTAGTGATCAAGAAGTGCAGTATTGTAGCTTTACTGTGATTGGCAAAACTCCTCTCTGGTTTCTGAGAGTTGTGAAAAGTGCTTATAAACTCATCGTTGTGAATAATTAGGATACTCAGAATGCATAAGGTAAGCGAGGAATAACTTTGGACCACTGCAAACCATTTAAGAACTATCAAATGATCAAAATGGTCAAATCTGAGGTATTGTTCTGTTTGTAAAATGTGGTCAAAATATCTCCTGTGTTATGTCCATTGAGATTAAGTCTGAAAAATTTTGAATTACAATTTTGAAAATGATCAAAATGTAAAATGTTTTAAACCTGTGAGAGATTTGAAAAGTTAAAATTCTATGGCTTTAAAAAAAAAAAAAAATTATTGAAGAATCATTTTGAGCAATTACAGTTTGGGAGTTAAAAAGTGTTCAAAATGTCTGCCAAAAGAGGAGCACATGTCATCAAAAACACTAAAAACTGAAGTTAAATTTTTTAAAGTGAATTAGAAAATCTGCTGTTTATTTCTGTTTAAAAAAAAATAAATCTTTATTTGTTTTATTTGGAAATTCACTGGTTTCTGGGTTTAGTTTAGGATTTTAACTTTTATTATTTGTTGACTTTAAAATGCCTCAAACATCACACACCACTCTGTGAAAAGACTTTAACGTGTCAATGTCAAGTGAAACTGAAATTCTAAACTTAATATGATAAAAACAAAACAAAGACAATCCGACAAGTTTCCATGAATTTTCTGTGA